TGGAGGCGATGGAGATCGGACTGATTCCTCTACGACTGCCACATTCCGATCGTGAGCCTCCCTTGAAAATTGGGACTATGACGGAGCGGCTGCAATCGGTTGGGACAGTTTCCTGCTCCCATCGTTTCACTAATAACTCGCGTATATAATCCACAAGAGCAGGTCACTCGAAATTTATGAGAGTTGGAGGAACATCATTTGGTCCTGCGGCTTTATTTAACTGCAACAGTCCGATCTCAGGTTTGACGTTTTAGCGAGAGGGTGGATCCAAATGGACAGTCCAGGGAGCGGGGCGATCAGTGGTCGGCGAGAAACCTAACAATTCCGACTGATTAAATTGCTTTTCAAAGTGCTCAGCCCAACTCTCCAAGCCTTTTTACAAGTTGTGGATAGGCTGTCTACTCTCGTCACGTATAGTATCACTAACACCAGGTCTCCTGCTGTACCTTTTTCTGCAACAGCCGAAATAACTTACGATGGTTACCAAGGCCAGCGGCCATTTCCATCTCTGAAGCACGATGAGACCACCAGGATTCGCAGCCTCTCTTCAGGCTTGCACGGAGTTTGCCCGGAGCTGTTTGTGAGTTTCATAGTGTTAGCTTCCAGCCGGAATATGCCGGCGAGCATCGATAAGTTCCAGAGACCGCGAAGAGACCCAATGTTCATTTTGGCGATTAGACTTACCACATGAGGATTTGCCTGCTGCTAGTAAGGACTGGTGAATATGAGACCAGTGAGCTTCAAGTGCATCCAGTGAGCGCTTACTCAAGTCGCATGTCAGCGTACCTTGATAGGCATTCGGAAGAGCTGGCTTCACCAGTTGGCTGGTATCAATGCGCTCACATCATCTTCGTGCGCGCCCGCCAATTCGCATCAGCAGGTCGGCACATAAAAGTGCACGGTCGGTCTCTACACATGTGCTCTAAATCGAGCAACAATTCTGGACGCAGCCTCTCCATCGGTAACTAATTGCAACGTGATCCACCTAAGACTTGGTGATGTGAGTTTGGTAGCAATAGTTTACCTCCGTCCAATCTCCACCTTGGAAATGGATCATTGCCAAGCTTCTGCACTGTACGGTTGTGAAACCTGGCCACTTCAAGCAGCGGACCTGAAGAGTCTAGTTATGTTCGACCACCGGTGTCTTCGTAATTTAGCTCACATCTGGTGGGAACACCGCATGAGTAACGAGCATGTGCGATGCCTTGTTTATGGCACAGGAAAAAGAAATGAACCGCTCAACACCGTTATTTCACACATCAGGCGCCGATGGCTCGGCCACGTGTTGCGCATGTCAGCTCACCGACTCCACAGACGTGCGTTGTTCGCGCGCCGGGGGTGTGGATGGAAGAAGATGAGGGGTGGCCAAGCGATGACTTGGTCGAGAGGAATGAAGCCTCTCACTTCTGAGCTGGCCTCAAATGGAGCGTCTCGGCTCCATGGTTGGGGTCCGAAAGACGATGAACACGTTTGGTTGGATACACTTGCTGATATGGCTAGGAGCCGACCTCAGTGGCATTTGTGCTGTGAGTTTCTTCGTCCCACTCCATCCCTCTTAGCCTCCCCTCCAACCACGATCTCATTATTTAGCTTTATATAATTTCGCATAGTATTTTTTTGATGCACAGTAGCCGACAGGTAGCGTACCGGAACGATGCCCATCCCTTACCGGTAGCTCAGCCGGCTTACACCAGTTGCTTCTTTTCTCCTTTTTTCTGTGTATTGCGGCACAGTAGCTGAGAGGTTCCCCGCCTCTAGCTAACGTTTATGATGATGATGATGATGTCAAGCTTCTGCGATGGGACGAATCTTGGCAGGACCATACAGTCACGTCCTTCTGGTTGGGACTTCAACCTGCACGCAATCGAAGTTCCAGCATCCCACAGCGAAAAATTCAAGGCTGATTTGCAGGAGGAGATTGCTGAATTGCCTCAATACAATCAAGTCACCTCTACCACGCGATTCCGAACTGGTGATACACCACTGTTTTGGACCTTGTGATTTCCACCGGGGAATTAATGGTCGACACCATGACCATAGATGCACCACTTAGTCGTAGCGATCATGCGATTTTGCTCTTTTATTACATTTGTTCCTCGGAGTGTATCAGTATGAACAACATGGAAACCGATGTCGTTACACATTACGATATACTGTCCAATTTCCTTCAAGAAACCGACTAGTCCCTCCTGGCCGAGAAGCCGCCCAATTTCGACTGGATATTGTCCCTCAATCAATTCACTGAACTGTGGAAATGCGTCAGAAAGCAACGTCTTTCGCCCGAAGCAAGTGAACATGTTCCTGAGGAGCCATACTAGACTATGCATGGGCTTAAGTGATTCAGCCTGGCGTACTTACAAAGTGTGTCCAAATAAACTGACTTTGGGTGATTACACAACTAAATGAAACCACTGCGTCAAGTTCATCCGCGAAGACAAACTCAAGCATCAACAGAACTTAGCGGCGAAATTCAGTACAAATCCCAAGTTGCTGTATCGACACGTCAACAAGCTCCACAGAGTGCAACGCGGGATCCAGGTTTTACGTGCAACAGATGGTCTTACGCAAACTACACAAGATGCGGTCAACCCGCTTCGCCAACATCTCATCCATGCTTTCCAGAAAGAATAAAATTTCTCTTGCTTTTGACACAGCTGCCATCGCCACCAGGATTAAAGCACGTTTCGTTTACAGCAGCCAATGTGATGAAAACGCTAATGTCGTTGCGTGTGAACAGCGCACCTGGAGTGGAGGACATCGAAATAAAGGCATTGAAGACAGCGGCCATGAACCTTGCTGAAACATTAGCTCGGTTCTTTCGATGTTGTCTCGACGTAATGCAGGTTCCCACAATGTGGAAACATGGACTAATAACCCCTTGTTACAAAGTGGTAATCGTGCGGAGCCCTCCAACTACCGTCCAATCACTCTCCTACCAGTTTTATCCAAAGTAATGGAACGCATAATTGCAGAGGCGCTCATGAGATATCTTGAGAACAATATCCTAGTGTCACAGAAACACGGATTCCGCCGAAATCGATCATCCACTACAAACTTGCTGCTAGCCCAAGCAATCTGGACAGAATCAGCCGAGGCCAGAGTGGGGGTCGAGACGGTCTACCTGGACTTTTCGAAAGAGTTCGATCGTTTGGAGCACAGCATTCTCCTGCACAAACTTCGAAGCGATGGAATCTTTGACCCTGTACTCGCTTGCATCGGCAACTTCCTCGTCACATGTCAGGTGAATGTGAGAGTCCGTAGCTACATTTCCGATCCAAATGACGTCCAGGGTGACGTGCCTCAAGCATCGGTACTGGGGCCACGTTTCTTCCTAACATATATTAACGATTGGAGGGTCATCTACCGTTGTGACAAAAAGCATTGCCCATGGTGACCCGGTAGCCAAAGGGGTAGTAGCGTTGGCTGCTATTCCAATGGTCGCGGGTTCAAATCCTGCTGTCTCCACCTGATGAGATGAAATTACATCGAAATGCGTCGTGGCTGTGCAGTGTTTTCGGGTGGGCAATACCCAATTTCCATCTACTTTGAATACGGTCCCAGCGATCGCAGTGACTAAGGTTCATTTCAATATGAATCACAGTCCATTAAATTGAGGTTGCGTGTCGCGTTGTCGTTTCCTTTTTCCTTTCTCATGCATTTACTGAGCTATAAGGGCACTTTATATTATTTTGTGCGCGCACATCCCATTCCGATTTCAAACTACCGTTATGCAGTAGTGCACTTAAATCTGTAGATGCTTAAAATGACGATTTACTTATTCGAGGACCGTTTAAATTTTATTTTTACTCCAATCATCCTACGGGTCTTGGCAAGCAAATGCTTCTTTACACGTGATAATTTATTGTTCATTGTACATGTATAGTTTAATAGAAAAGCAACGTGAGGCGATCCTATTAGATGAAGCTAAGCACTATTATGGTGCATGAGTTATTATGTGTTGATGGTGTCCTTAGGTCAATTGCGGTCGAGACGAGATATACGATGTAGTAACTCGATGAAGATTAGGTGCGGACTGCGCGATTTGGATTGGCATTTTGGGTTCATGGGAACGGATCGGTTGTATCCTGTACAGTCTGAGTCCCCACATGGCGACAATATTGTTGAGCCGGCTATAGAGGCCACCTCGAGTGAACGCTGCGCAATTTTTGCGGAAAATATGAACTCATGGTTGCGAATAGATCTGTTTTCAATAATTACCTCAGACCTATACAGCCATAAGAATGTAAACGCAACATCACGCATTAAGCCAGTAGAGGCCGTACTGAGAATAGGTGACTAGATACCATCTGAGCGATGCTGCTACATTCAATAGATAGTCTGGTCAATTCATTGAAGACAGGCGTCACCGTAGTTAATGGTGCGATGAAGATCGCACTCGGCTGCCGCCACTGAGCAGTTATCGGACGGCTATGGCAAGAAGAGCATTGGCACCACGGCCTTTTGTGTTCCCAACTCCGGCTGCATCACGCTGGTAGTAATAGCCTCAGTCGTCTCCAGGAAGCGCTTTCTAACTATTCTTGGCCACTGGTTAGTCACAGTGGTACCCAAAACATTTAGAAAACGCCTCCTGAGGACGTCTGAGTTTGGTCTTCACTGGCTTATTGCGTTGCTTATTTTTACGTTTACCTAACTATATATTCTTGATGAGAAATACTGAAAATTTATCTTGGCATCCTTCGGTTCTCTTGTTGACTGTATCGCTTTTAGCCCATATTTGCATATCTCAAGGGCCCGCAAGTCAATCAACCTTAAAGCGAATACCATTAAGAGTTGTAGTTTTACCTCCGGTCATTGATCCCATTATCCTTTCATAGTCAACAACGCAACTGAGCATACAATTCATTGGGAACCTTGCCAAGATCAGTCACTATTGTTTCGTCCCAGTTGGGTTGCTGTTTGGTAGTATCAACTTTCTGCTTAAGACCTAGTGTTCGCGCTGACTTTATTGCACTGATACACCTTTACCATCCCATCCACAGGGCATGCCAAACAAAGCTGATCTACCATCGGCCGAGAGGGTGACCGGAATTGAATCACCAGAGCCACCCATACCTACTACCTCCTTAACACAGGCCATACCAGGCGCTGCAGGCGCTGTATTGAACGATGTGCCCGGTCTGCTTGTTTCTCACAGGTCGTCAAGGATCGGGAAACCGTCAGAGAAAGCGTTTGATGACATGCAAATTATGCGTCGCATAATTGCTGAAGATGAAACGTTTAATTTATCTACCGTTCCTCCTTTGACGGATCTGTGTCTGAAACACTGCATCCAAAATTTCGAGTGTATGTATTGATTTAAAGTTTGATTATCCGTACCCCATTCCATCATGGTCAAAGCAGCTCTATTAGCGTCTCTGAATCATTTGAGTTGTAAGTGATAACTATGGCAGCACGATTCTCTCCTAATGCATATTTCTGCATGCTGGTTCGTGAAAAATGCAAAACTTTTGTGTATGCTGATGTTTCAAGAAGAATCGATGCGTACGAAACGGACCCAACGCTACGATCAGAGCGAATAAGTCCCGTGTAGGTAACTACGCTTGAAAGGCAGAAGTCAGCGACCCCGCAGTCACATTGATTTTGAAGTTGAAGAACATTTCCATTGATTAACAAATTTATTAGTTACTGGAATATGGATAGTTTCCCAAATTTTGTCTTATGAAAGTACATAATTAGGCACCAATGGTAGTCTACATTTGGCCGGTGCAGGGTTCATACCAGTGGGACTAAGCGAAATAATAGGAACACTTCACTCGCTGATTTTTAGAGGAGCATACCGTTCTTTGGTCTATTAGCATGTTTACCTGAATTAGTGTTACCAGAAATTGTACTTCCCCCATTAAGGACAGAGAGTGTAATCTATGTTCTAATTATGAGATTAGGGCTTTCTCTACAGATTTTCGCAGCAGCCAGCATAGATATAACCTATGTTCAGAGGTGTTATTGTTGCTTCATTTACACATGCCATTATGAATTTTATATATATATATATATATATATATATATATATATATATATACATATAAGCAGTCTATAAGATAGACATAGAACAAGCACAAGCAATTAAATGGAAGTACTAAATACAGGGACCACAAAGAAAAGCATGAAAGTTACCAAAACTTTTTTGTCTTTGAACCTTGTCTTTTTGTTTGTCTGCTTTCACACGCCGTTTTATCTTTTTTGTCCGTTTAATGTTTGCAATGTAAAGCAAGCAAATCAAGACAAACATTTGTACACATTTTCCATTAGGCCCAGTTCTGTGCAATCTCCGAGGGAGTTTCTCGCCAACGGTGTTCTTCATCTTTGATCCCCCAGCCCTAAGACGCATGGGACTTACGACAGCTAAACTGGAAGTCAACACTTTAATCTTTTGTCGCCGCGTGATTGACTGACACCGCGCGATTTCTTCCAGCCTGGTCTTTTGCGAGCGAAGTGAGCGCGTCGGTGAAGCCGTTCACATGGCGCACGTAAAATTTGGCCCAGCCATCTCAGTTGGTGCAGCGGTACCAGTCTGTCAAGTGGAAGCCTTGTGTTACCCAAGGTGGGACGTCTAACATCAACGGTGAGCACTTGATTCATCCACTACACTCGAGCTATTCTCCGCAGACCTCCATTGTCAAAGGCCGAAATTCGACGCAAGTCCTTCAAATGAATTGGCCAAGACTCGATCCCATACAGCAGCACTGCTCGAAAATAGACGTTGTCGTCCCTGCCCTTTACCAATAGTGAAACGTCACGGCGTCGCCACATAAGCCTCAAGTTAGCAAATGCCGAACGGGCTTTGGCAAAGTGGAGGGAAATCCCTTTTCTAATGCTACCATCAGCAGATACAGCATCTCAGGTAAACAAAGTTATCCACTTGTTCAACCTGCATACTTTGAAGAGTGAGCACCGGGGCATAGGAATACCAGTCCAAGACCAGGAATTTGCATTTCATAGGGGCAAAAGTCATTCCATATTTATATGCGTCACTCCTCAAGCGGTTTAGAGCACCCTGTGTGCTTTGTGCGTCATTACCAAGCAAGGCAAAATCATCAGCATAATCTAAATCGGTCACGCGGTTGCCAGGAAGAAGCTCTACACCAGAACCCTGAAAAGCCACGAAAACGCTTAATAGGACATCCTCGATCGCAAAATTGAACAGCAACAGGGATGTGTGCAACCCTGACGTACACAGCTAATGACGGCAAAAAGTGAAGAAAGCTTACTATAAGCCCACACTTTACGGTACTTTGGACCCTACTATACAATTCTGAAACCTGACCTATAAGATCAGCGGATATAAAGAGGCCAGTTACATTCGACCACCGGTGCCTTCGCAGTTGGGCTCACATCTAGTGGGAACACCGCGTGAGCAACGAGCGTGTTCGACGCCCTGTTTAGGGCACAGGAAAAGGAAATGAACCGCTCAACACCGTTATTTCACACACCAGGCGCCGATGGCTCGGCCACGTGTTACGCATGTCAGCCCATCGACTCCCGCGACGTGCGCATCGCGGGTATGGATGGAAGAAGATGAGGGGTGGCCAAGCGATGACTTGGTCGAGAGGAAGGATGGCCCTCACTTCTGAGCTGGCCTCAAATGGAGCGTCTCGGCTCCATGGTTGGGGTTCGTAAGACGATGAACACGTTTGACTGGATACACTTGCTCTCATGGCTGGAAGCTGACCATGATGACGTTCATGCTGTGAGATGTTTTGTTCTACCCCATCCCACTTAGCCTCCCCGTCAACCACGATCTCACTCTTTAGCAATTTATAATTTTGCATAGTAAATTTGTTGTTTGTTGCATAGTCGCCGACTGGTGGCTTACCGGAACGATGCCCATCCATTACCGGTAGCTCATCTGGCTTGCACCTGTTGCATTTTATTCCCTTTATCTGTTATATAATGCGGCACATTAGATGAGATTTTTCCCAACTCTAGAAAACGTGTAAGGCGTGTATGTGTGCATGTGTACCTGAGACATTGCAATATAATGTTCGAAGGACGGCGATATACTTTTCGGGTACTCTATTGTTTTGTAAGCAACGCCATACAGCTGGCCGATCGACGGACTCGAAAGCGGCTCGGATGTCCAGGAATACAACAATAGTGGGCTGGAGGTAAAGATGACGCGTTTCAAGGAGTTGGCTGAGCGTAAACTGGTGGTCTATACACCCTCGACCAGGGCGAAAACTAGCCTGTTCTTCACGGGATCGTAATTCTCTTAGCATGATTTGTCTGCAGGGTAGCATGGATGTTAACAGCTTCTAGGCAACGGACATTAGATGGATTCCTCGGTGATAAGCGTACAGAGTACTGACATCTTTCTTGAAGATCAGGACGATACGTGGTTCGCCCCGAGCGGATGAAACTTTTACTTCACAGCAGATCTTAGAGGACAGAGCTGTTAGCTGGTTGATAACTACTTCGTTCCCGAAATCGGATAGTTCTACGACGATCAAAAATTCCAGTGAGTGTGCAGGACTCCAGTCCCCCAGAGGGCGTCTTATGGTCCCGCAGATTGAATGACTAGAAGTTAACATCGATTCACGTAGCAAACTCCAATGATCTTCGATATCTTGAGGTGGAGCGCTAAAGAGTGCACGCGATAAGAAAGCTTGCTAAGTTGATCGAGTAGAGTGATCAGCTAGATTGTTGGTGTCGAGCGTATGGAGCTTTCGTTTTGAGGAGCCGCCGAAGCTCATGCAGATGTCCGCGCAGACCAAAGCATGATCTGAATCGTGGTACGTAGACCAAATCGATCTACAACCCCGGACGCTGCCTCGCCATCTAGAGCTGATTGCAATGTGATCTATTTGTGACCGCGCGTGCGTTGATGAAGGAAGACGCCAGGTGGCTGCGCCTTCTGGTATGCCTAATGTTCGTACCTAAGAGAAAGAGACGGCGATCTTCGCATAACGTAAGAAGCCTATCACCGTTGTCAGAACGGATTTCTTCAATCTCGTAACTGCCACCAAGATGGCGTTCACACGGAAGCAAGTGACCTACTCGTGCATTAAGGTCTCCGGTAAGGACAATGACCTCGGACCTCTCGGCCTTGTTCAGATGGTTGTGGAGACCAAGAGAAAAGTCATCCTTAACCGATGCACAGCTGCAGTCGGTTAGAGCGTAGGCACGAACGACCAACAAAGTGCGACTCTCTTCAAGATGTCTGTTGAATCTACATGAGCGTTGAAGCCAAACTGCACACAGCCGGCTGTACATTGGAAAACAATTGAGTAATGCAACCTCCGCTTTGTCACTCAATGCGATACCAACGCCAACTAAGCAAGCTGCTGCTGCCTCCATGTCACTAGACAGATGTAGGTAATATGTGATTTCAAGAGCAGCTGGAGACGCCAACTTAACCACAATGCTGGGATCCTGCAATAGATGGCGAGGGACTCTAGATTTCGCGCCACGCCAGCATGTTGTCCAATCTGTAGTAGGGTCCGAAAATTGAACGTTGCCCTGCAGAATGTAGTACGGGGTCGAAGGAGAGCTGATGGCCGGATGATTTGGCTACAGCGAGACTGGCGTTGGAAGTAGATTCAACAGGTTGTAGCTTATCAACAAGAGAACAGATAGCGTGTGATGAAGAAGTACGAGTAGCAACGAAAGTAGCAGCAGCAGTAGGCGATGTAGTAGTAGTTTCGAAATCCCTGGTTTTCACAGAGGGCATGATACTACCCGGTTGTTCAAGTCGAAATAGGGGGTTGTCTTAGGGGAATCCACCCCGAGCCTTTGGCTCAATAGCCTACCCGCAAGGGAACGGAGCGAAGGCAGAGATTCGTACCCATTGGGAGCCGATGACTGATGGCGCAGTTCATAGGCCTTTCGTTAGGTGAGTAGCCAAAGAGTGGCGCAATCCTTCTCACGATTTCAGAAGCAAGGTGCTGGAATACAATGCTTCACCAAGGTGAAACAAGCGGCAATGAATTTAGTTAGTGGGGAGTCACATCCGCCACGTCTAGTGTTGTTAAACGGACACATGTGGCTTTTTGTAGGGAGAACGCTTGCCCGGTGAAAACCCGCCATGTCCTGGAACACTACCGCCGAACCATTAGCTGGACCGAGATTATCCCGGACCACCCAGCTGGCACCACGAGGACGTTGTTCGGCAGGCCAGCCCATTATGATTCAGCGAATACTCTAACTACTGGAGTAAGTACTTCATTCAATCCAGTACGATGTAGAGTTCAGCGTGCCTCAGCTACGTCACAACTCATTGTTCTTAGGTACAATGACGAAGAAACAATCCCTACCCACCCCATTTATTCCACTGTAGCAATGTCTTT